TGAGACTCTCCCCCATCAGCCACCTGGACTCCCAGGAAAGCCAGTTCTGCCTGTGCCCACCCCAGCCGCTCGCCATCCTTGTACCAGGAGAAGCCCAATCCGCCAAAAGCGCTGGTGTCCAGCCGGCACGACAGGGACAGGGATTCCCCCGTGCTGCGATGAGGGCCTGGGGTGGCCACCACATGCACCACAGGGGGGACTGCAAAGGAAGCGAATGAGATATGACCTAATGACGCTCCCGTGGGATGGCAGCTGGGGGCTTAGGCGCAGCATGGCATGGGGCGGAGGGGCTCCATGGCTCCGCCCCAGTGCTCTAGCCCCACTCCCATATCCAAGTGGTGGCGAAAGGAAGGCCCCTGCCCCCTCCCATTTGTGAACCTGGTTCCACCCCCATGGCTGTGGCCCTGCCCCGAACTGGAATGTCAATGACAAAAAGACCCCCAATCTGTGCTCTCCTGCTCCGCCCCCAGGCCTGTGGTCCCGCCCCCATTTGGAATGTAGGTGAGACAAGGACCCCTCCCATCTGTGCTCCTTGGCTCCACCCCCAGGGCTGTGGCCCCGCCCTGGCACTGGCTACTCACCAAGGATGGCCACATAGGTGGTGGGGGATATGGCCAGGTAAGCACGTCCTATGTCGGAGACCCACTTCATGCAGGTGTAATTGCCCCCGTCAGACAAGGTCGCCCCTTCAATCTGCCTAGAGGGGCCCCCGTGCAGCTCCTCATTGTGAATCCAGAAGTAGACCTGGTCCAGCGACCCGCTGTCCCCCACACATCTCAGCGTGAATGAGTCGCCCTCCCTGATCGGGCCTGGGCCGTCCATGTCCACCAGGACCTTCAGGCGGGGGGGCCGGCCTGAAAAGGCCATTGGAGATGGGTCAGAACCAGCACCCCCTAGAGGGGAAAGGCCTCGCACCCAATTCCCTGCCACTCTGAGCCAACCAGTCCCACACCTTGGGGCCGGATGGGAGCTGGCGCCCCCTACAGGGTAAAGGTCCCGTATCACATTCCCCACCCCCAGCACCAGCCAGACCCCTGCCCTCAGACCTGATTAGTCAGTGCCTGCTAGAGGGGAAAGGCCCCATGACCCATTCCCTGCCCCCCAGCCAGCCCCTGCCCTGGGGCCTGATGGGAGCTGCCACCCCCTAGAAAGGGAAGGCCCCATACATAATGCAACTCACCTGTGGCTGGAGGCTGGGACCTTTTGAGGAGGCACCTATTCCGGTAGCCCTGCACCCGGCACTCCAGCGCCGCCCCCCGGTGCTGCCAGATGATGCGCATGCTCAGCCTATTGCTTTTGCCAGCTTCAGTTTCCTCCAGGATCCGCGCGCCGGCTCCGTCGTACCAATGCAGGCCGGAGGAGGCGCAGCGCTCGGAGATGGAGCAGATCAAGTGGCCGTTCAGGGCTCCGGGGATCCTAGTAATGCTATGTTTGACCCTGCAGGGATGTTCTGTGCAGGGTGTGTGAGGGGGGAGTCAGTCACTGCT